TGTGGGAATATAGCCAAATTTTATTTCCTTTTTCATTAGGTAATAATGAGAAACTTTTTTCTTCTTCTAAGGGCTTATTTTTAATAGAAGATGTTCTTCAATCAGTTTCACTCATCAAGGAAGTTCTGCAAGTTCTGTTCACRTATTATTTGATAGTTTTTTTTTTACTTACACCTAGAAGAAGCCATGATTATTTCTTTTAAGAACATCTTTCAGTCTACTATATGTCATCTTCTACTATGCTATTGAGAACAGACATCAAGGTGTTTTTTTTTTTTTTTTTTTTTTTTTAAGCAGTAACTCAACCCTTTCTCTTGGTGGTCTGCTTAGGCTTTTTCCCAAGCAAGCTTAGTTGGCATTCTAAGCTATATGCAGTCATAAACCTGAGCTTGGAAACAGCTTTGAACCAAGTAGCAGGACCACTGTCATTACTTTGAATGAAATAATCCCCGGAATTATTTCTCTTTTTCTCTTCCAAGGTTGCTGAAATTGTGAGGAAGCTTCAGGGCACGCCATATAATTCTTCTCACCAAACAGAAGTTTGCCACAGAACTTTACAGAACTTGCCAATCTCAAAGACATTACATGWTCTACAGGCATGCTTGACTTTTAATCTCACATCCTTTGCAAATTTATCCATCTACCGTTTAATATGGAGTCACTGGTGGAGATGACTTGCTTGCCAGCCAGGCCTGCCCCAGCAGCTGCTAGCTTTGTTCTGCAAAAGCACCCACGGATTTGCTCTCTTCTGCAATCTGTTCTGGGTTTCCAGGGAAAGCCCCTTTCTCAGACTCACGGACTCTCTGGCAGCAATTCAAACACTGCTACCAATACTTGTAGTTTGTTTCTGCATGGAATGCAGTAAAAAATGCATGAACTGCACATGCAGTGTAAAACTTCCATATGTTACAGGTCAGGGCTTGTCCTGTATGAAATTGAGGCACAGCACAGAGGGATTTGTTGCTTGAAGAATAAACCTAACTACTTCCCTGTGCTTATAGTATAAAAAGTTTAAGTAGAAGTTTGTTCTATCTTATAAGTCCTTTGTGYGTATGAGGAAAGGCAGCCAAGAGTATAGATAAAAATCTACATGATATTTGGCTACAGGTAAGGGAGGTAGGGGAGTGCTGGGGGAGACGGTGAGACTGAAGCTCTCTAATACTATATATTTTATATCATCTCTTCTGAAGAGAGATTGATTGAGGTGCTAATGTTCTTCTAGTGATAGAAACCAGAGACGCTCTCGGCTTCTCATTGTCATAGACTCCTAAAAAAACGTTTGAAATGAYTCCTTTCCTCATGCCAAAAATAAGATTGATAGTTTAAATAACGTGGTTGGACTCGATAGTTTAAATAATATATGGTTAGCCTTGATGATCTTGAAGGTTTTTATGTTAGTCCGTAAKCCCAGTAATCACCCGCACGCTCAACCTGGTGGTTTAAAAGCAAGCTTTATTAGCCGGCCGGCGGCGGACCTCTTCCAGATTGTCCCGAGATCCGCGCCGTTTGAGGAGAGGTTCATGTTTTTAAAGACGACTACAACTTCTTTGTTAAACGTTATTTACGACCACCATTGACTAACCCCYCTTTTCACAATCCCCTTACCATTTGGCATGTTTGGAATCTTATCTCGGGGTCACGGCAAAAGCAACAAGAGCAGGGTATGTATCCYGTTAGTCCTTATACTCCCTTGTAGCAAGCGATATTTACAGAAGCAGATGGCAAGGTTAACTRTAAATTACYTGTTAGTCCTTATCCTCCCTTATAGCAAGCGAGATTTACAGAAGCGGATGGCAAAGTTAAATGTAAATTACATAGCCTATATCTTATACATCTTCAGTGTACAAGCTTTATTTATAGAAGTAGAAAGCACGCTACCCTGTTAACCCCTTATAGGCCTTACATTTACAGCTAAAATGGCATCATAAATACTAATATAATTGTACTGAAATACTATTATTCGGCAACAGGTCCCCAACTGCAGTATAAACGTTGCTTGAAAAGCGTGTTGCACAGTTTTCTTCTGCATCTCTAGGCTATCAATACAAAGTATATTACTGTATTGCCACCATAAAGCATTTCCTAGGCATGCATCATATATCTGAACACGCTTGATTATATAATCTCAAGCAACTTTGGGAAATATCTGTTGAGTCCACACTGTGGGGAACTCCCAACTCACTTTAATATTCAGCAGTACCACTCGTTGCATTTGGAAGTGCTGTGCCACTAGTCTGCCAAAAATAAAGGACTTAAAGCTCCTTACATGTAGTTACCCCTTCCTCCAGTTAACCTGCCAAAATATTGTCTTTGAGGTGGTCTGGTCATGAAATAATTGGAATGATTAATTCCAAAGTAATTAGAGTTAAAGCCTCAAAATTTGGCATCTTATCAATAAAGCCGCAATATGAAGCGGTAGTAAAAGGTATGTGAAAGAAACACAATATGATGCTCCCAAGAAATGTTGGTGTTAAGCATTCATGGAAGAAAGTCCATTACAGTAAGACGTTCTCTGGCAACACAAAACTATGTATCCCAGCAGCTATGCTAGCATAAAATCAAGATCTTCAATGACAGAATTGTTAATACAAAGTGAGGTACTTGCAATCTTACTTCCATATGTTAATCACTATAGTGCATGACAGATATGCTACCTGGAAGTGAGTAGGCAAAAAGCTACTTTCTGACGTGACACACTACCTCTGACCTCAAGTTCCCTATAGCATAGCATTCAAATGATTTAACTACTGAAACCCAAAACATATGGCAGTCATTATGTATGAAAAATCTGCTCCTTTCAGTCATGGATATTCCAGGCTTTGGAACCCTTCAATTACACATCTCTGTTAGTCTACGAAGAATTTGCTACGTTTGAGGTAGTACAAGCCTAAGTATTTTAATAGTTACAAAAATCAGAGCCAGATTTGCTATCCTGCATATCTAGCTAATAACTTGCAGAAGAAATACACCTAAACCACTACAAAGAAACCCACTGTTAATAGATGCCACTGGGTTGGCAGATCCCATGGCATAAGTGACTTTGAATGGAACCTCCGAAGGACACAAACGTAAAATACCACAGTATTGATTCCCTAGCTCTGTTCTGCCAAGTGCTGAGCTTCCTGACACTGCTCCAGAAAGCACTTAGCTCTTCCTCTCATCYGTGCAAATAGATTCACTGAAGTCTTGTCTCCTCTGGGCCGTAAAAGGGGGTTGTAGGAGATGGATGAGGAGTCGAGAATGGAGAGGCCTTGAAGCCCAGCGTCAGTGTATTCTGAGAAATCAAAGTCCACTTCCAAAAAATCCCATGTGAACAGTGGCACAGGGTGCAATGCTGAATGCTGATCAACACCCTCCTGGAACCAGATTTCCAAGGAGAATTTTTAGGCCTTGCYGAGTTCTCTACTGCCCCATTGTGAGCAGTAGCAGCCATACACCCAGGTGCRTTGCCTACTCATCCCCTCTCTGTATAGACATGGTGTCAGGTAAGATTTCCTTTCTATACCACATGATCTATATGCAACATTTACTGAGGTAAAGGCAATAATGCAGTATTTGGGTCAGGATTTCCACACCGTTTCAGATTGTGCAAATTCATTAGGAAATCTTAATTTTAATTTTAGGAAGAGTACAAACTATGCTCAAAATTGTCAAAATCTCAGGTTGAATCTGAATAAGTAATTCTGAATAATTCCTTTAATTATCTTTAAAAGAGTTGACTTTAATCGGCACAGAAGTTCAGAATAAACTGCTCTCTATCCTATGCTCCTGGAATCTGCAAACAATTCTTGTGAGAAGGAAAATAAAACAAGAACAAAACCCATGAAGACACACAAAATATATTTCAAGCCTTTATGATTAAAATGCTATACATACGTAGAATAAAACAGATGATTAAATAACAAATTTCGGTTATTCTTGAAGTGGTTTCTTGTCCAGAAGCAYGGAAGAAAAAATCTAAAGAACCTGAAATTTTGATCATAAATTTCTAACCAAGCTAGATACTTATGCAACTAATACACATAATTGGACTAAAATAGTTTCAAATTAAATGAAATATGAATGCTAGCATTACATTTTTACTCGCAATATTTCACTTGAAACAGGCACCTTTAAGACCTTCCTGGTCTTAAATTGCCAGCAGCAAAAGTCATCTGGGCCAAGATTATATCACTGATTTTACTGAAGTATTTTTTTCATTATGAGACAGAAAATCCTCAGGGATTAATCCTGCTGTAATATGAAACATTTAGAGATATCTAACATTTGCTGGTGGTTTTAAGAACACTTTTTAGTACTTTACTACAGCCTGAAGAAACAATTTTGAAAGAAAGCACATAAAGCTCGAACTCTCCACAGATGTTCCACATAGAAACCTTGAAAACTGCATGCTGCAGTTGGTTACCAGAAAATGCAGCTAATAATACATATATTTTATGCTTATGGTAGAGAAAGCCCTACCTATGGACAGCCAAGTAGCAGGCYTGGCGATTTTTATAGCAATATGCATTTTCTGTTCCTAAGTGTAACCTCTACTATATTCAAACAGCAGAACACAGCAGGCCAGCTTAGGTCTGCCTTTTATTTCCCCTCTTCAAGTAAAATTCTGCTTCAAACGCATCATTCATGTTTTATGATTAGTYTGAGGTGCCTTCTAGAAAAGTCCAAGATCCTTAGTTAAAGGATTGCATACAGATCTGAAGTTGATCTGGGTTGAGGAAGACACATCCGTAGGTTACCTAGCAAAATAGGCACCTGCATGAAAAGCACCCCGTTTTCCAGCTCTTTAGCTCCACAGAATTATCTTAAAAGCTTTTCTTTCATGATATGTAGATAGAAAACTTTCAGGAAAAGGTGCTGCAGAATTCTAACTAGTTTTGTCGATTATGTTTTGAAGCTGGGACACTTTAGTGGTTGCACTTGGGGAGAGATTACCTTCCATGCATGGTTYGGAGGTCAAAGCAAGCAGCAAATGTCTTGCTTTTGATGAAGAACGAAAAGATTAATCAAATCAGAGAAAATATAAGTTTCATCTTGTGTTAGATACCTTAAAGGTCTCAGCTGACAAGGTATGAATGGTTATGGACGTATGGATTTACTATTWTAAGCAGTCCTTTTGCCAGGTAGCACAAAGGGAGAGTGGTTGGTACCAGTGACACTGGCACAGCCACACATGGGATATGCTGAGGAGTTCTGGGCATGCAGGTCAGGTACAGGCACAGGTACAGAAAAAACGAACTAAATACACTGMGCTTTTCTGAGCTTTTTGCAAAGTATTTTCTTTCTTTTTTTAACGTGTGGAAATGTTTAAGGAAAGATCCCATTAGTGTTCACACATGTAATTCAGAGAAAATAACTAGGAGTAGAAAAAACAATTAAACACAATCTAGAAACAAGGCACATCTAAGTCACGATGACTTAAAAGCTGCAATATGGGACCTGATCTGGACTTTTTCCATAAATTCTACAGACCACCCCTCTCCCCTCCTTTTAGAGAGAAATACCCCCCCATTCAGACAGGAAAGCTGCTGGTTTTAGTATCCACAGATTATTAATGTCCTCAAACCAAATGGGGGCATTAAACTAATCACTTTCTTATTGCAGTGCAGTCAAACAAGAGCCAGATCTGGGTCATATTTGAACTTCAAGCAAAGGCAGATGCTGAAGAGAACTTAACTGTGCAGTGATTTTCAGCACCCGGCTGCAGTCCTTTTCTAGTACAATGTGCAGGTAATTTGAAAGGTGAAAATGCAAGGCTGCCTATGCTTTAACACTGCTTGCAGGCTTCCAAAAGCAGACACAAAGGTTATGTATCTCTTTTCTGGATGCACACCTCACCACTTAACAGCCCTCAAAAGCAGCAGGACCATGAGTTGATAGAGCTCCCATCCTTTCAGTGAACTGGCTAGGGTTTGGAAGGAGATTGATTTCTGCTTTGACACCACAGCATGACTCCACAAAYGACCACTTAAAGTTTGGCTGTAATAAGCAGCAGGCAAGTCCAGTATCATTTCAAAGGGCAGTTGTCCCCTATTCAGGGCCTCATGATTTGAGCTGCATTTAGCATTAAGAAAGGTCTCTGAAATCAAAGCGCAAAGTGACCARCTATTTGATTTATACTTCACTAGACATTTGGAACAAGAAGGGACCAGTTAACTTCAAGTCAGATTCTGCTGACTACTCTAGCCAAGGGGAAATACTCTGTGTGTAAGAGACTCTTCCTGAGCAAATACGGACCTGCTTATGCTGGCCGGCTTCATGAGTTCATTGGGACAATCTAGTTCTGAGTGGTCTCACTTTAGAAATACTAGAGCCAATCAAGAGGTCCCTTGATGCTACTTCTACTTGCTTCAAACTGTAGATGTTCTTAAGCATGTTCTTTTAAGAACACTGTATGAAACCCTGAAACTAGCAGTTTCATATTAAGAGTTTTGAGTTCAACTTTCCACATTCTTTTCCAAAACAATCAAAATTAAAGTCCCCATGGTTTCAGAAAAGAAAGTAATTTTCAATGAACTAGAAATCTTCAGTTTGGTACAATTAGCCAGAGTAACATGGGAAACATGCCAACTCTGAGAAATCAGAAGGAGAAACATTCTACGTGGAAACCAGACAACTTTTAATTGGCACAGTCCATGAATCATTAACGGCAACAAGCTACACAATTCAGGAAAGACACCTTCCTCGTCTAACAAAATGAGATTTCTCCCACATCCAACTAGAAGCAGTTTCAATCCCATAAAGGAGTAAAGGACACAGCCATTCCATATTATTTTAAGAACTATGGGCCATGGAAGCCTTTCAGGTCCTTTTTTTCCCCCTCCCAAAATTTACTCAGCCAGTGCTCTTGGTTCTTACCTGTAGCAACTCACTTTGAATTCTTACACTAAAATATGCAACATTAATTTTAAAACACAACTCCAGTTTGAAGTCATTGCCTTTAACCTTTTCCTAGTGAATAATACAGGAATCCTTCAGTATCAGCTTGGAAAAAAGAAATTCTGCACTTCAGGGATACTCGATTCTCCAGAAGAAAACAGAGGTACAGACAGCTGCAAGTGTCTAATAGCTTTTAACACCAAAATCTTGACCAGAGTCCTGCTCAACTCATCTAAAGACAAAATGATTTGACTAATAACATTGGGAAGGCTCCTTAAAACGGTGCATGCTCATGTTACTGCACTTACCCAAAGCCTTACTTCACAGGCTGATCCCACGGCTAGGGAACTCCTAAGAAAGCAGCGTCCAGTGAGATACAACTCTGTCACAAACACAACAATACGAGTTGTATTTGTATAAAGTTTGAAATGCTTTTAATATGTACATTCTTTCTTAGTAAATATTAAAGTAGTGCTTTTTATCTTGCACTTTCCCTTTAGATTTCTAAAAGGAGATCAGAAATACAGTTTTCATCCCCCTCCAAACCAATGCACAGGTTAACGTTGTAACAAGCACATATGAGTTCTATACACCTCTCCCTCCCCACAAAGAAATAAAAATATGTCATGACTATCCAATTACACATCATCACAACAAGTTTAAATTACGCATACAAATCATTTCAGAGTATTTAAAAAAACAATATACTGGATTTATGAAGCCATTCCATGCACTGAACAACAGCAAAAAATTTTAATTGTAGGTTTCTCTTTAAACGGTGTTTTGCCTTTCTATCCAAGTACCAAAGTCTGGATTCAGTGTATCGTTGAGCCTAACCATTGCTTTAGTCACAGAAACATGACAGTACACAGATAACCAAGTTTCTGCTTAGAGACCATATGCTATATAGTTACTAGCTCTTTAATGAATGTCAAATAAAGCAAGTATAGCTTTCTAGGACATTGAAGCTACACAATTTTTTTTTTCTTTTTAAAAAAGAACAAAACAAAAACAAGAGGTTCTGCTAAATAGGTAACAACATTTTGAAAGGAAGGCTACGCACTTATATGCTGCTGCCTAGGAGTATGTTATTAGCAGGTTTCCTATGTTGTTAGCTAGTTTTTTGACAAGCTATTCAAGAGTTTGAGCTTACTAACCAATTACTATCACCAATTTTATCTTCAAGAGACAAGATTTATGCAGCAAAAGCTCTCGAGGGCGGTCTTTCATACTTAAGATCTTCAAGTTTTCTACAAAAGAGACTTGTAGCACAATACACAGACATTTTGGACATATATTACAAACCTGAATTCAAAGGGTATTTTGCTTTACCTTTACAGAGAAAGAACTAAACAAAATGAAATTACTATTTACAAGAAGGGGCTCTGCATGATTCTGTAATATTCAATCTGTGTTTGCATTTAATACTCCWTGAAAACTGTACTTCAGTTCCAAATATAGTTTACATAAATCCTGACGAGTCTTCATCTTAGGCATTAATCCCTCCCAAGTAAATAAATCAATACTGTCAATATGCTCAGTTTATTTTAACAAGTTGATTTAGAAAGTCATTGAATTAAACAAAACTTCTGAACACCTAAGCATACTCCTGATGCACAGGGGGTGAAGCCCTGGGCCAGTTAGTATCCATTTATTAGGAAAGCTCCCCAACAKCAAGGTGCCTTTTCCGTACAGTTAAACCCAGCTTGTTTCATAAACTATCCCTGCCTCACAATACTGCTGAACTGCAGTCAAGCCCAGTAAGATAAAAGAAGATTCCCGATCTACACTACCACGTGCTACAGCTGTTAACAGTTCTGCTCGTGCCACAAAACCCAAAGGCAACCATCTAAAAAATATCATGGCTCTTCTTTAACAGAATTCAACAGGTAATGTTAATTACCATCCTTCTGAAACAATTTTTTTTTTCAAGGCTATATACAATGTACACGGCTGAGCATGCACCATATAGATACAAACGCACCCGCCAGTTTGCTAGCATGTAATTACACAGTGCTTGAAAATGGCAACACACCTTAAAACACCATTTCAATCAACAGTTTCAAATGGGAAATGGTCTTTATTTTACAACTGCTATACTTGCATGATTTTTTTTTTTTTTTTTTTTTTTGGATAAAAACCTGTCCAAAGTCTAGACACATTCTCTATAGTAGAGGTTAAGGCAGAAAAAAAAAAAGTATTCCTGATAACTGGTCTAACTGCTCTAGACAATGTCAATTAAAGCTGTCTGAAGTCACTCCAATTCTTCCACAAGTTTTTAAATTTGATATAATTTGAGAGTGAAACCTTGTGTTTTTGAAGTTTTGGTAACACAGAACAGAATTGGATGCAGTAAATCAGTAAATTAATAAATGCTAAGGAGAAGGGACATTTGATTTAAATTTAGCCATGAGATTTAAAGTTAAAGGGGTACCGTTTTAAGTGGGAACCTGAATCAAGATCTGTAGGGAATGAAGCAGAAAACCTCATTTTATGCACACTACTGTGTTCTTAAAAATATACTGCTATTTTCAACAATTCAAGTAAGGTAAGAGACATTATCAAAAATAACTTCATGAACCATACTCAAGTTTCAAATCACATTCTCAAACTTTTAACCCAAAGCAGTTTTATTGTTAACTTCATATAATAACCCACGAAGGTTTGACTGTACAAATAGTTAATGATTTGCACTTGTGATTCCTTTAATAGCTAGCAAGCTTGCTAACCAGCTTACTATAAAGATATGGCAGATTACGTATTAATCAAAGCACTTTGATTTAGGCATGAGACAAATTCAAATGGTAGACATTCTGTGCTTCTAATGCATCACTCCGAAGAGAGGCAAGAAACACCCACTATTGTACAGACAATATTTTACAGAAAACCCTTAAAATTAATCATTTATTCGCAGCTGTAGATGAGAGTATAATCTGTTGTAAACAGGGCACTGTGTTGTAAAACCAGTTTTTAATTAAGATCTCTCTCCGTAAGTTGGAAAAAACAGACTCTTCAGAATGTCTTTCAAATGTAGCGTGTTCTGTTTTCTATATCATAAAGTTACTTTCCTTTGATTCCTTTTTAAAGATGTTTGTGTTCACAGCAGTTCTGTTTTTAAAAATTGGTTGAAATTTATATAAAATTCTGTACATGTTCACAAATTATTGCATAAACAGCATTATCTTCATGACAGTATTCTGCAACACATGTCCATCTGGGGAAATTCACGTTTCCCTTCTCGCTTTTTTCTTCTTTTTAACTTGTTTGGGGGATTCCCAGCTTTCTTCAGACTTTGCTGGAAAGGTTAAACAAAGAAAATGTAACTATAACAACTGAAAAGTTTATGTAGAATTGATTTATAAAATATGGAAAAGCACAGCCCTTGTTATTATGAATCTATTCAGAAGTATCAACCAGCATGTTCTTTTTTTAGTAGAGCTTTTATCTTTTTACCCCAAATAGAATAATTTAAAATGCAGCTACAATGACAGTTTGCCAATTTCATACTTTTTAACACCACAAATACAAGAATTTAGACAAAAAAAAAGGTCATTTGTTTTCTTACTTCATATAGATTCATGGTATTATCATTATTTTTGACTAATTCAAAATCATGTACATTAAAACAATGTACATTAATTGTTCATTTTTATTAGGTCATCRTTTTTAATCACTAAATGTAAGTAATCTCTGAATGTCAGAAGATGAATTTTAAAAACTAGTTATTTGGTAAAGATGTGGATATGTGTAATCCAATATCAAATAAAGCAGCACTGTGTCACTTTACCAAAACAGTTTACCTTAAAACATGTTGGCTACTAAAAATGTAAGTCAGGTAAAACATATTTTGACAACAAAATAAGTTCTTCTTGCTGGGGCATGAAATGGCGCCAAAAACCTTGACATTCTAAAACCAAATTAAAAACAGTAAATTGAGACACTGACTTAAAAGATTTGCTGTTGTTYCAACTTCAAAATTTCTTCAGCATCAAGAAGCCAGCTTATGTAGTTGAGCGAGCTTCTTCTGCTGTTATTAAATATGACTTTAGTACTTCAGCACTTAGGGAGTTTTAAGAAATGTCAGCATTTATTCAAAATAAATAACTCTCGTTCAAACTAAACTTCAGTGTGTGTGTGTAGGGGGTGGTGATGTTCTGCTTATTTGTTTTTGAAGCTCTCCTGCCCTGACATCCCTTATACTGTTTTACTGTAGAGTTGAGTATTATGGTGCAAGGATGATTGCTGAGTGCAGGAGAGGACAAGTTTGAGACCTCCAGGCAGAGCCTAATTTTAAAAAGCAACAAGCCTTCAGTAGCTCAGCTTGAGGCACGTTCTGTTAAGCTACAGAAGGGGGGAAAAAATGCACATCACCCAACACCTTGCTACTTTAACTAACACATTTTCCTCCATCACTACTACATTTCACAGAAACACGGAAGAAAAAGGACATGAAAGAAAGGGGAAAAGGAAAACATTAATGAGTTAAGCTGAGAGGGCTGAAAATTCAATTGCTCACACTTCTCCACATTTCTGATTGCTAAGCATCTTGTCAACTGGTGTGGCAGCACCCATCTGTTCCATGCAAGACTTGCAAACAGGCCTTTARAAACATGTTGGCAGAACTACTTAGTCACAGCACAAACTCCAGYGCTGATGGCAAGGAGCACGTCCAAATGCCTGGTGAGCACTGCCCGAGGCCAGGACACGTCTCCAGTCACTCAAGCCTATGAAGCTAATTTTCCTCACAGTGAAAGGAAATTTGTTAAACTACTTCCACCAGAGTTAAAATACAGTAAGATGCATATGGAAAACACTAATACTTGACACCATGCTTCAAGCCCATGTAATCAGAATGTTTGTGGGAGAAAACTACACCCTGAATCGGGATGAAGGAAGTGTACTGAGATACTTACTCTGTGGAGGAGGCACACTGTTTTGCTTAATATTAGGACTAGAAACATCTGTCTCTTGCAGCATCTGCGGCACTTGGGAAGTGATCTTGTCAGAATCACTTTCGGATACRATTACAGATGGCTCAGGAGAAACAGCAAGCGAAGGAGCCTCCTCAGGCTATTTTAAAGAAATAGGGGAAAAAAAACTTTAAAKTCATACAACAGTAAAGCACTCTTATGCACTGTCACTTCTGGAAGCAAAAGTGGCAGATGCTACAAAGATGACTGTGAAAAATTAAGGCATAATTAAAATCCTCTGAAATTGCAATCAGAGCTGTAGGACTATGACTGCCATCTAGTGCCAAAACGTTCAGCTGTATACAGCCAAAGATAAACCAAACAAGTTAACCTACATTAAAATGTATGGTATATAGAGGAAAGAAAAATAATCTGAAACTACTTAGACTCTTTATATATGGAGAATAGATGCAAGACAGTGACACATTGTATGGATTTTGTTTAAGTCAAGTAGGTCCACATATGTGATTCAAAAACTTAAATTTTCAGAAAGTGTTTGTAGTTATTCAGAAAGTGTTTATAGTTATTTCTACCACGTATTTCAAGCACCCCCTGTGCCTATATTACAATTTAGACAGTTACAAAAGCAGTCAGAAAATCGCAGTGGAAACTATCCTAACACGAATTGCTACACAGAAGATATTCTTAGTATTTTTCAATTATCCGTTGCATTTTGAAGGTTCTTACTGCAGAGACAAACTGTAACTGTGGTTTATTGTGTATCACTAATTTAAGTGCAGTAAAACGGAAATTGGAATGTCTCCCTTTTACCCCTCCAATATTCCAATAGAAATATTGGARCAAAAAAGAACCCAAGTGCAATATGATCCCACAGCACGTCACCTACTGTWAAAGGCTTCGAGTATGATTGTATTAGAGAAAGAAAACTTTCTCTTTCTCTGAACTTGTATCAGTTCAGAGAAAGAAAAACCCCAACTTGAGCACGTTATTAAACAGCTGTGCTACAACAGTCCGGACCGAGAATTGTGACATGAAACAGTGATACCTACATCCAACTCCTAAAACTCTGCAGAAGGATGGAGATCATAATTTTTGTTACTAGTTGATACTATTTCCATCACAGTAACATACAATCATTCAAAATACACACAAACACAAAATACCAAGACATAACTGTTTTTTACCATATCATACTGAGCACAAAGTTGAAAAGCTTTAACAGCTTACATAAGACCTCTTACTTTCTTGTTAAACCTTTTATTGAAGTTTACCGTGCCAATACACATTTTTTTTCAAACTAGAATTGTTTTCGTTTTAAAACCATAATGAAAAAAACAACAAAAACCCCACAACTCCACAATCAATTTCATATTATCTSTGTTGAGAAAGTAAACTTTGATGCTGCAGGATTTCTGGCTTGGCCAATTCTATAGTGTCTAATGGCTACAAATCATCACCTACACAAAATCCTTAATTACAGAAAGACTGATCAGCCTCTGAAGCAGGAAGAGGAGTCACCTTGCACCCCCAGGAACTCTGTTGTAACTGATTTAGGTCACTGGTATCATGCAGGGTGTTGCTAACACTGAGTCACTACACAACAGTATGCAAAGCAACTCAARACTGAAATGACATCCAGCGGCTACAGGCAGAGAGCAAACGTGCCTCGACCCGAACACTGGAGCAGGCGGGATCGCTGCACGGGTAACTACAGCCCTGCTACACACAGCGTTATGTGCACAGCTTCCCAAATGAGGGCGCCTCACTTTGGCATGAAGGCAAATGGCTACTGATACTGAATGCCAAAAATTTGGAACTACTGAGTTAATATTCTAGGGGACAACAAATTAGTTCAGGAAAGAAAACCGAAACAAGCARTAAGATCAAATCGCTAATACAAGCAGTTATATGCGTGATTCCGGGAAGCTTATTAATAAGCAGTAACTTGTAAAACTTACTACTAACAAATGATTACTATCAGTATTTCTCAATATAAAATTTGTGTCTGTTAGTAAAAGGAAATAGTTAGTAAGGGATGGGGCGAGCGGAAGACAAAGTTGTGGGGCGGGCAGGCATTTTTCTTTGAATCTTCTACCAGGGACTGGAGACGACTAATTTTAAGCAACCTTCATCAGAATCTTAAGACTTTTTTAATCTTAATCACTAAACATTTGTTACATAAAAATATAAAATTCAGATGCTCTGATACCAAACAGCTCTCTCACTAGTACAGTCTATGTCTTACAGAAGATGAAATCAATTCCACTAGAAAAAATAAGTATTTTTGCCTACTATGTGATTATGYAGAATAACAGTACCTAAGGAACCTGCTGGCCAGAGACAAGACAGCTCCTATTATCTAGAGTATCTTTGAATTGTCAGCTGAAGCAAACAGTTTATGAACTGGTTCTGAAAAAAATTTTTCTTTTTCAAACATTATGCTCAGCATAGCTACTAAAATTCACACTAATATCTAAACCGCAAGATCTCAAACACCTTTATATTCATAAACAAAAACTGCCTGAAGTGGTGGCCGCGACATCATCACAGATGTTAGTGTTTCAATGAACCTTTAATACTTCAAAGTAGACGTTACCAGTTAAGTTGTTCTTCATACCTACCTTAGCTGGTTCACTAGTACTTATGGTCTTCAAAGAGAAAGCTATTTCCTGCTGTGGTTGAGCTTTTGAGGTATCCTCACGAAATTCTTCTCCAGCTTCTCTGTCCAGTTCTTCAGTGTCCTACAAAAGATACAGAAGAGCAACCCCTATTTGTAAACAAAGTTCTGACTTTATACTTGTGGGAAGAGTGGTAAAACAAACAATTTACTTCTAAAAAAAGTAAAACGATCACTGAGGGTTTTGATCTCTCAATTCTGGATACTTGGATACTAATAGTTTTTTTAAACACAACCTTTAAATTGATGTCTATAAGCTCATTATCATATTAATGTTTAACAAGTATTCTGCAACCCAAAGGAGACTTTGGTGCTACCTATGAAAGTAACTTTTCTACCTACAAACTGATGTTTCCAAAGTATTTAAAAATCTGAACCTTACACACTCTTACAGTGGGGAAGTTTTCATTTACACTAGTAAATACAGGGTAGATACATTAGTTTAAAGTATCAGAAAGCACCTGGGGTGGAACAGCAAGTGGAACACAGTTGTCTACTTTTAGGCTGGTGGTTTCTTCTATTCCTTTCATTACTCTCCCTGGGATCTTGTGCAAGCAGAGGCAAAGTCCATGTCTATATTGATTTCCAAAAGGAAAAGCTGTACCTTACACCTTTTACTTATCTGTCACAGCAATTTCTACTCATGTTTGAAAGACACTCTAGTCAAAACAGGAGTGAACACAGAAGTATAATCCATGCGCAAGATGGTATTTATATGAATGTATTTGATTTTCAGACTGTATGTTATATATATATATACACACACACACACACACAGAGAGCTTAAATGTACATAAGACTAACTTGCAATAATGAAAGGACAATCTATTGGTGATGAACTCTCCATTTTGTGCATGTCAAAGAACACTTTCAATTTTCTCTAAAAATCTGAAGCACAGAAATACTCACTTTCATGTTTAGATCAATGTATTGAGAAAGATAACTCAAAGTCAGAGCTGAGAGACCCATATGACAACAAAATGGATTTGATATATTAATTTGGACAGCAGAATATGACACAACTGAAAAGGCAGTTTGTGAGCATTTAAAAAAATGCAGAATTCACTTACTGAGTTGAAGACCCATACAAGACCTCCAAAAACTCACGTTAACCATAACCTATTAATCACGACTTACATCTACAGTCATGGACAGATATCAGAGCAGACGAGGTTAGTAATGAGGTATCAGAACATGATATATTTCAAAGCTAGAAAGCAAATTTCACTGCAGTCCTAGTATCCTCTCTGCCTCAAAAGAAACACTGCAAGCTCACATTGACTTTACAGTCACTCAAATTGAAAACATGCTAATTGCAAGCAACAAACCCARAATAAGCAAGTCTGAAGTAGTTCTTTCCTCCTCCCCTGAGTTTACTTAGATTCAGCCAAGAAGTTAATGTTTGGTAAAGAAGAGAAGATAAGAATGTCTGCCAACTACACACAGAAAGAGAGGTGTATTGAGTGTAAACTAAATTAAAAGCTTTTTTTCTATTAGAAAGATACTTGCTTTATCATATTAAAGCATGCTTCAATAATCTGCTTTTGTTGTGTTTACAATAAAACTGTTTCCAAGTAATTCTTCAAAAGCTACTAACCATACAAACAACATAAAAAGCTCCAACCATCCTCAGTCTGCAAATAATAGTCTGTTCAGATCTCCTTTAAATAGAATAGCTCAACCTACTGAGTTACAAGGCCTTGATATTTAAAACCCACATAAAYTCCAGCAGTACTTTGAACAACCACTATATCCCTGTGAATTGAGACAGCCTAACAGAGAACTTCAGTTTCTCCCCTTCTCTTAGCCAACTATGCCCAGCAAGAAGGTGGTCTTCCACCAAAATAACACAAGACAACTTCCCTATCAGAGGAAAAATATTGCTGCTACATGGCACAGACTTCTGAACTGAGAGAGCAAAATAACTCAGGATAAATACTTTCCTCRCACTTCAAAAACCCCATATATCCAGTCATACAGTGCTCACAAGTCAGACAGAATTTAAGAAAATGCTAATGAGAATTAGTACTTCAATTCTTTCAAAATTGTAGCAGACTAATCCAATATTATACAGAAATTAAATTCATCTTTCCTCAAAACAATTTTGCATGAAGCCAATAAGCAAAGTCATTTGGTGAATTCCTCATGAACCGCCTTACAGACTGCCCAGAAGTTACCTTTGCAGGAGAGTTAGCCTCTTCACCCTGCTTCTTCTTTTTCTTCTTCTTTTTCTTGGATTTCCCACTTGCAGAGCTCTGAAGTGGGTCTGCTTTTTCTCTTTCATTATCTGAAGCCTTTATGAAAATGAGAGATTTAATATTTAGAAGCACAATGAAACWATAGTATAAAAATAACAACTATAAGGAACTTAATTGCATGTCAGTATTTAAGTGAATACAATTTTATCTGGTCAGCTTTAGAAAGACTATATTTTTAACATGCTCTCTGGAGACAGAGAAGAGTTAGCAGTAAAAAGGGTAATGGAGCCAGTGTTGAAATAATGTTTTTCATATAAAATAAAAATATTACTGAGATCAATTATGAAGGACAAACATCTCAGTATCCACTGATAACGTAACATTTTATATTAAATTAAGACAGTAAAATTTGGCACAGAGCTTGTTAACAAACAGTGGATTCTAGTCTCTCAAAAACAATCAACATTTCCTTCTCTGTTACACATTAATGCAATTGTGCTGTGTTTATGAATGTAACAGATGAGAGATGCTTATTTCATTATTTGTTGTCATTTTTCGGAAAGCCAGTGGCAGGGATAAAGTCATGGTGCTTAGCAGAAAATACTGCCTTTACCTTCTGAACATCTAATGATGCCTCTTCAGGCTGTGGAACAGAAGCAGCTTTTTCTTCATCTACCCAATTCCCCCACTCTTCTGCTGGTGCATTCCAGTCGGAGGTGGGATCAGCTGAAGAAAGTCCATCTGCAAAGATTAAGAAATATTTTCAGGAATGTCAACTTGTTCTAATGATGCCCTTAAAAGCTTAGAAAAAATGCTATGCCAATAAGCATTTCTTGATACCAAAATATACCCATTTGCCATATTTCTGAAAAATATACATATTTTAATGACAATGGAAGACTTTGCAAGTAATAAACTTTTAGCTATTTTACAGAGCAAYGTGATCACATACAAATCACAGCAGCAGCTAGATTGTCTCAAAGCAGTTAAGTCTTTTTAATAAACTCTGTAAAAAGGGACAATTTAAGAGTTGTTTGCCATCTACATCAAACATTTTTAGATTTAAAGGAAATTWTCAATTACATCACAATCCAAAAGGTGAATTTGTGCTGAAATCCTTCATCATGGATACTTTTGCTAGTAAATATTTAGATATGCCTGTAATCTCATTATACTACAGCCATGATTTTGGGAGAGAYTGTGATAAGGACTACAAGAACATATTTTAAAAATTACCAAGAATGGGAAAGTCAGCACAATTCCCAAATAAACACAATGACCTCTATTCAGAACTTTAAGGCATATTAAAGCTTCCTGATGTCTGCTGAATGAGGAAGTAAGTAGGATTATGTACAGGAGTCTTATGTCACACAGTTTTTCAGTAATGTATCATACAATACATAAAAAAAAACTTCAGCCTTTCAAACACTATCCAAGAGCAACACATCTTTTCAAGTCCTGCAGTAGACTTTTTCTATAATTCACAGTAAATTAGAATGTTTTACTTAATCAACTATTTCAGCAAAAGCCAAAACTTTCGCTGAAATACATAAGTTTCCCTCTGAGTTTGGATAACCAAGTATTTTGTCTAAAGATATGATATTATGCCTAAAAATATAGTATCATCAACACACTTTTCCCTGTAATCTGCTTTCTTGAAATTGATATTTAACTTTAATGAAGGTAAAACATTTCATTTCTTCTTCAGAGTGTAGCTAMTTGCWWWWGCAAKTAGCTAACAGATGTAGCTACACTTGAAAGAGATGGAAATTACGATTTTTGTTTATGAGCATTTTAGAGTAACATACTTAACCCAGACCATTCGTCATCAACAGGGGCTTGAGCATGACTTAAATCCCACTGAAAATCAGAAGTAGCAGCCTGAGAAGCTGACTCATTGTTGGATCCTGGAAAGGAATAAGGACAATTGTACTYGTCAGTTAAAGCCTCCAAGCATTTTCTTTGGTGAAGAAATTCCAAGCAAAATAAAAAAGAAAACACAAAGACTTTTTTCTTTTGGCCTTCTAACGAGGACACACAAAGACAAAAAGTCTTAGCTCTTCAAAAATACTTAGTAAACAAGGAAACTGAGGATGGAAGATGCAAATTCAAAGCAGGGAATAACAGGAAAAAGGAAAAAAGGATAGCTCAAAAGAAGGGTAAGAGAACAAGAATAACATAGGACATATAATAATGTTGGGAAAAGAAGGATAAAACCAGCATTCTACAAGACTTACAGCAGTCTCCCTAAACTGGAAAGCACAAAGAATTTTTATGGGTAGTGAAATTACTGACWGCAGCTAAAAACAAAAACAACCAAAGAAGACAAAAAACCCAAAAAGCCCAATGACTCAAGAGTGCTAGGAAAAAATCTGATAAATTACACTGTATTAAATWACTCATTACTAAGAAAATATCAAATTCTTGAGTAAAACATTTCAGGAACAAAGAAGCAGTATGATGCATGACAAGCAAAAGTAAGGCCAATACTAGCCCTGGTAATAGAAAGTACCAAACATCTAATATCATTATTTTAGCACTATCTGAAAAAAATAAGACGTCACGAGGCCTAAGTCAGCTTTGGAATAAAGGGCAAAACCAGAAGAACCTAAGTGTAAGACTATTGTGAAAGAAATTAATGTGCAACTTCTAGATTATATTCCAAACACATTCTAGACTTATTTTCAAAACAAAGTTTAAATGTAAATACAATTATTTGCTGCTTCTTATTTTATAAATATAGGTGCAAAATGGCCCTCTTACATTGCTGGCTAATATATAAAGATAATGAGCATACGTCATTGCCTTTGTGCTTCTCTCTAAATTAAGGCTGCAGTGGTAATACTGGAGATCAATCTCAAGTTATTCCTCTCTCTCTTTCTCCCTGTATATACTATATATATATATATACATACACATATATATGTATATAAAATACATATAGAGGAAATACATATATGTATATAATATAAATACATATAAATGAAATACATATATATACACACACACACATAGATATTTCCTCTATATGTATTTTAAATATTAGCCCAGAAATTGAACTTGAATTGAAATGGTTCCTCTAGAAAACTTTCCATATAAAAGCTCTTTGCTTGGCTAAGGCTTTTTTTTTAACCCTCTTCCTGACCTTTTAGTCATGCTTTCTGTCAATCTTAAGKGAACAGCTGTCAGTTCCTTATAAAGTCTGATAAATTATACCTTGGTGCACATAAATTCTTTGCTACACTAGCACAACATGCATCAAGAAAATGAAACACTAGCGTGAGCTGTAGGACACGGAGCTCTAGTTTCAGTTAACAGACTACGGACTGCAATAATAGCAACTTATCCTGAAGTGCAGAACACTTCCAAAAAGAAGATAGCCATGCCAAGGTTAGACCATGGGATACACAAGCAAGAGCAGGAAACACAACCTACTATTCCTACTATCTAATGCATTGCTGTAAAACTTCAGATGTCAGTAGTTTCAAAGCACAAGAGTTGATAGGAAGCCCCATCTGGAACTCTGAAAAAATTTTACTCTCAAAACAAAAGAGCTCAGACCTCATCCATTTTGCAAAGACTCAGAAATTCGAAATCCTGCCCCAAAAATACTTTTACAAAAAGATTCAATTTCTTGAATATTCCAAAATTAAAAGAAAAAAAAAGGCACCTCAAAAAAACACACACACACAAAAAAATGAAGTTCAGGGTAAACAGGCTTTCCTAGAAAGCAATCTTCAGATCTCTAACTTGAGACAYAGCAATGTCCAAGTATTCCTGAGATTCAACACAAACAGGACGGATATAAAAGAGAAAAGGATATATCACCTTCTATTTTGTATCACCTGACTCTTAACAATGAATTTAAAAGCTTTGTTATTATTATTACTACATAATTTGAATGTAAAAAACCTTTCCAAAGTCCATTAAAACCTCTCCTTGTTTACAGTTAGCAAGATCATTCTTAAAGAACTATGGGACAGATGCACATCAATCACATTTGGCGAATTCTATTTCTTCCTGATGGGAAAGAAGCAAGGGAAAAGTCTCTGGAAGGATATACGTACCAGATACTCCAGGAGTTAATCCAAACGAAGAGAAGGAAGTAGAATTCTGTTCAGAGGTATTGATCCTGGCATCCACATTCCAAGCARCTGTGGGGAAAGACAATAAAAACTGAGCTAACTTCTCACTGCTGGCATTGCTAAAAATAAAATTATTTAACAACATGAGAGATCAGGAAAGCAGAGGCAGCTCGAGCAGTATTAATATTTCATGTAATTGACGGCATTACTTCACTTACTAGGTGACACCTGGTGCTGACGGAGGTATCTATCAATCTTCAATTTGAGACCGTTTTTCAACTAAGGTCTTTCTCCCTCTACAATCATTTTTATATATATGAATTTTTTGCAAAGGCTATCGTATTATGAGCTCCATACTGTTACCTTTTTCCATTATTATGGATGTTATGGAAAAGCATATCAGCAGCTCTGTAGAGGGTGTTTGGCTTGCAGCAAATTGTAAATATGTCCAACAGAGTCAACATCAAGGTAGTTTTGGGCAAATAGGAGATAGTGATTTAAAAAAAAAAACTTAAATGTTGAAAAGATGATAGAAAAATTAAGGAGAAACAGTCAATGGCAAAAATGTGTCCACAGAAATAACTGGTTAGAATGTTGCTCTGAACAAAAACCACTGGGGTTACAGTGAGCTGCAAACAAAAATGGTCTGGCCAGAAGGGACCTCAGGAGCTCTCTAGCACAACCTCCTGCTCAAAGCCAGGTCAGCTCTGAGGTCAGACCAGGCTACACAGTTTTATTAAGTAAGGTCTTGCAAATCCAGACTGAATCTCTGGTTGCAAATTGTGTCCGCGGTCCCTCRTCATCCTGCCAGGCACCACTGGGGAGCCCGGCGCTGCCTCCTGGGGAGAGCAGAGCCCCACAGGTACCAGCAGGCTGCTGCTGGGCCTCGACGAAGCCTCTCCTGCTCTGGCCTCAACAAGCCCTGTTCTCTCAGCAGCTCCTCACTGCAGGAGTGCTCCAGTCCAAACCCTTCTGGCAGCCCTTTGCTGAACTTGCTCCAGGTCATCAATGCCCTACCCAGGATGGGGATCCTAAACTGGAGGCAGAGCTCCAGCTGCAGTCTAAAGAGTGTGAAGCTGAGGGACAACAGTGACTACTTCCCACCCTRTGACTCCCATTAGGAGAGCTCAGGCCACCCCTGGTGTCCTTTGCTGCTTGTTCTCGCATGCAGCTCACTCCCCACAGGGCAGCTCCTCAGGCAGCCAGTCCCCAGCCTGGGATTCTTCCTCCGTGGCTGCAGAGCTTCCCACTTTTGTCCCTATTGAACTTCCCAAGGCGCCTGCTGGCCCATTCCCCCAGCCTCTTGAGGTCCCTCTGGATGGCAGCTCTGATCTTGAGTGTATCAGCTGGGTCCTCCCAGTTTGATGCAATCTGCATATCTGAAGTGGATGACACTGTCACCACTTCCATTGATAAAGTGGTGATAGTTCCCTGATAGTCCCCTGATTTGAGTCCTCCACAGAGCACGATACATCAGCCGCTATCTTCTGGCCCCAATCTTTCTCCCTCTTTTTTTTTTTTTTTTTATAAACCCTTTTAGTTTTCAGCCATAGTGCCCTAAATTGGATACAAAAATATTGTGGGAGAGCATGTTGAAAGTCATACTACAGTATGAGGTAAGTAAGAGCCGTGGCTGCCCACCCCCCACAGATCCAGGCATTTTACCAGAAAGAATCAGCCTGGTCAAGCATGATTTATCCCTGGTAACATAACACACAAGCTGTTCACAGTCACTAAAGTAAATAAATAAATAACATACTTCATTAATGCAGAATAAGGTTAACAGAAACACAAAGCAAACCTTTGCTCTACTCAGCAGTAGGAAAGCTTCTCGTGGAATGCCAGTTCCAGGCTTTGGCACCACATTTCAAGATATGTGAGACAAATATCTATRTTAAAGTGATACTGCTGACTAGAAGGAAGAAAAACAAACAAACAAACCCATCACACTTCACTACACAAAACGAAGATTGCTTATACGAAAGACTGGGGCTCTAATGCAGCATCTAATACGAAAGCTGTTGCAAAGTCTACTCTCCTGTTTATTCTGGACAACACAGCTGGCAATACTCTAAAACCTATCCTGAAGATGACTGGAGAAAAACAATTTGTAATAGGAAAAACAGTGAGACATTTCAAGAGATTGTCTGTCATTGGAACTGAACAATCTTCTTTCACAGAGCCTGGGCAAATATCTGCCAGAAACGACAGAGATACAGATGACCTTGTGTTGGATCAACAGAGCTGATATATGACCTGTCTTCCAAGACATTCACTTAAAAAAAAAAAAAGTTAATTTCAAAATGATTTAGTATTTATCAGTATTTTGGAAATCAAAAATTTGAWATCACTTTCCATCACAGATTATTCATCAGATATCTCCAAAAATCCAGTTAAATCAGCAGTGCAGAAACTAAACCATTATGTCAGATCTTAGAATAAACTGAAAATGCTTAATTCACATTTCACTACACTGCTCAAGGGTATTTTTTTCCTCTTTACCGTATAAGCATAAAGCTATTCAAGAGATTCCCCACTAAGCATTTTTCCAAAACAGTGTTTCTTATATGAAGCAGAATTCCCCCGGAATAGCTTACCAATAGGAGGGAACAAAGAACGCTCTTTCCAGGGCCTGCCCACCAGGGCGACGCCCCAGTCCTTTCCATTGCCATTAGCATCCCCAGCATCCTGGCCCCAGGCCGATGTCTCTGTCTTCCTCTTCCCAGCTGTAGCTGAGGACACAGATGTCCATTTCTCTTCCCCTACACCAATTTGCGAGGAGATTTTTACGGGCTTCTCGTTCCAGCTTCCTCCATTTACAGTATGGCTTTCATTCAACCCTGCAGAAACTTAAAAGCATTTCAAAAGTGTTATGTAAACAAGAGCTGGATGAAGAACTGAAATGCTATGCACATGCACATGTACTTAACAGTAAAAAAGCATGTACAAACAGAAAAAAGCACGTACAAAAGAAAAGCAGCTTTGCTACACAAGTGGAATATGGGAGAGCTGCTGCTCTCTCAGCTGTTTTTCCAGTTCAGATGATAATCACCATCTGTCTTCTAACTTGATGAGCGAGGAAACAACAGCACCAAATTACMCTCTATTCTACGTCCTCTTCTTTATAGGGCTAGCATCTTGCAGTGACCACTGCCTCAATATAACAATAATAATTAATAACAAAGGGGGAGGGAAGAACAGATTGCAAACGTTGCTAGGTCGTTTCTGCTACCCAGCAGGGAAGGAGCAACTCATGCGGATGTGGGAAGCCCATACACGGAAAGGGAGACTGCCTCCTGCTTTGTAACACTGGTGGCCTCRGACACTTTGCAAGCAGGAATTAAAAAGAGAAAAAAATCAAGGAGTAGGAAATGCTTCTTAAACACTGTAGGGACTTTGAAAAGAGGACAGCCATCATACGCTATAGAGTCCATAAATTTTAAAGAAAAAGAATACTTTATAAGCAATGTATTTTATGCTACACTAATGCAAAAGACAAGTTTAAATCTATGACAGTAACTACCAGTCAGAGTTTAATGTATATTTTGAAAGGACTCAGTAGTATATCAAGTAATACAGTAAAAAGGATTTCATAATGAACCTTAATGTTTGTGCAAAATCACCCAGAACRCCCAGCATGATCTACATATCGCAAACAATTCTCAGCAGTGAAACTGCTGATTTAAACTTATTAAAAGTTATTTGCATAGTGTTAAGCATAACAGTCAACCAAGAACTGAGGCTTAATTCAGTCAACATCATATACCAACAAAAGACATGATGGCCATGACAAAAATGACAAAGTCTTTTAGTTCTCAAACATATTCATTTATCAGGCAACACAAACCTGCTGCATTCAAGGCAGCCTTATKGGCAGGGAGAGCATAAAGTGCCCAAGTAGCTCGAGCAGGCCAATCTTATTTCCAAATCCAGATGTACATAAAGTCTCAAATTCCATTCCTAAATCCACCATCCTCTCTACACATCTTCAGAACATTTGTTTTTGCAAGTCAATGTCCTCTATGGATACTATAATGCCTTAGGGCAAGCAACAAGTAATGAACATAGAGAAATCGAGTTGAACCTTGGTGGATAAAAATTCTGTGACCTTGCAAGAAGGTAGCCAAAGCCCTGAAGCAAGATATTAGATTAATCTGTTTATCAGACTAGTCTCTCATCATTAACATTTACCTTCTCTGTGACTGGCAATGTTTCACAGGATCACAGAAAACTTAAGGTTGGAAGGACCTTTAGAAGTCACCTAGCCCAGCTTCCTGCTCCAAGCAGGTCTAACTGGAAAATTACAGTACATTATCCAACTTCTGGAAATCACCAAGGCTGGAGAGTTCACAGCATCTCTGGAAACATGCTGAAGAGTTCCTCTCCTCGTGGCTGATCAGAATGTCTCTTACTCAGTTTGAGCTCTGCCTCCTGTCCTCTCATTGTGCATCTCTGAGGACAGTATGGCTCCTTCCTTCTGTGATGCATTTCAAAAAGTCTGCATGTGAAGCAAGTCTCGGAAAAACAGTTTCATTTTATGAATCCGGGTGCATTTAATAACTGCTGACTTGCTTAATTACAAAAACTACTTTTGGTTAAAGCAACACCACTAATGTTGACTTAATGTACAGCTAGGAATGCAAAAGAACTATCCTGATTTAATTCTGACAAACTAATTCACTTTAAACACTGCTGGATCAGTTTCTTTCATTAAAAAAAAAAAAACCCTCCCACCCAAAAGCTGGTATTTTTGAACTCAACTGTAGTATTTATATCAAGGTTTTCTTTGAATAGACAAGCAGTTGCCATAAAAAGCGATTAATTTCACAAGATTAGCATGAGGAATCTTAACAAAATGAGCTAGCTGCATAAAGTTCCAGATCAATAGCTGTAGACCATCCTGCACTGACTAGTGGTGGTTTCACTTTTGTACAGCACTTTTAGTTTATTAGGATGCCTGGTAATAAAAGTTTTTTACCTTGTGGAATGGCTGACTCTCCCTTTGTGGTTTTAGAGTTGCTAAGTTGCACATTCAGAAGYGTGTCACCTAATCAAGAAGTGGAAAAGGAGTAAGTGTTGCAAACAGCAATAATTGTAAAAATAAGAGCACTCATCACTATAATGATTGGGCATGAGGGGGAGGGGGAAGCACAATGATATCTTAAAGAAAATTAAGGCATTACTAGAAAGCTTTAGAATAAAATTAAATGTTATGATTTTAATTATTTGTGCTTGTTTTACAGACAGACAAAGTTAAAAGCTGACTTAGGGCCTATGAATCAATTAAATGCAGATTTTCAAGAATTTTAGCTAGTTCCCCAGAAACTCAAGACAGGCTTCAATTTCCAAGCAAATAACTAAGTATTTCAGAAACATACACATATTTTTAACTTTCACCTTACCATAAAAAGGTAAGATACAGCTAAATTATTTTCAAATTAGTCTGGTACAGTGTGATCTATAAGAGCACATGAACTCTCCCTACAGCGGTTACATATGTCCTGGAGAGCCACAGAATATATGAACAACAGTTAGCATTTCTTGAAGCTGTTTGTATGTAAAGATGCAGAGAGAAAAAACAAGTCAAAAAAACCAAAAAGACTGAATTTAGTCCTCAAGAACAAGTACACACTCAAAGATGCCAAGTGACAACAAAATAAACCACGAGGAAGATAACACATGTAACTCTCAACATACTGTCACAAGGTACAAGATAGCAATTAGGCTCTTTTTTYCTAGCACTTCCCTAGAACGTTAAAGCTTCTTCTACTTTTAAGTATCAAAGTGTATCAATCGGTTAAAAGTACATAAAACTCTAAACTGTTTGACTGTCTCTTTTTTCAGTCTCTTTTAGCTTCTTAAACTATTTCTCTATCACAGAGAAATATGAGTTGCTGTGCCTGCCTCTACCCAATCCATGACTTTTCTGATACACTAGTAGCCATAAAAGCTAAAACTTTGCCACTCCTTAATTATAATTGCTTATATCTATTAGTTGTAACAATTATTATAATTGGTTACTAAGCCTGAGTTAGATATTGCTGATAATTATGAAGAGGTTTAGCATAGGTGTTAATAAATCAGATGTTGAAGCAAAAGTCTGCTTGCTAAAGCAGTTAAAGGCCTGGGAGGGAACTCGTGCACAGTCTTCCTGCAAGCAAGCARGCAGCCAGGAAACAGGCACGGAGCTGGCGCTGCCTTTGAAGTCTCCAGGGGCACAACGGGCAGCGTCAGCACAAATTGAGAAGAAGTGGGCAATTCTAGGTACCAATATACCATGTCTCAACTGGGAGAGCACTAGAACGGAGGCCAGTGCTTCAGCCACTAACTCCCATTTCTCTTCAGAATTTCCTAGGAATGTGTGATTCAAAAAGGAAACAGCAGGGCACAGAGGGGGCAAGTTCTATGCAATGTGAAGTATCTTTAAATAGCTTGAAATGGTTTCTCAAGAGATGATTTTTCTCAGACTTTCCCTATCCAGGATACCAGGATGAATCCAGGATACATCCAAAGAGAGTCACTACTTTACATCAAATAGATTATATTTTTAGTTTTGACACCTCTCATACCTTTATTTTTTCTGAGACCAACTGGAAGCGAAGGTGCAGGCACCAGTTGTTCAATGGAAACAGTAACGGCATTTTCCATTCCTTGGAGATTCAATTCTCCCGAGCCGGTGTCAGTCAACACCTTGTCTCTCTTGCGCTGTTGTCGCTTTTCTCTGTTACTGATTTTAGTTTCCCAGGTTCCTAAAATACCCCCCAAATAAAAACATCACTAAAAAAGTTAGAAAGTAAATGGGAAAAAAAGGTTGTTTCAGATCAATTCAGATCAGATTTTATTGAAAAAGTTAAAGGCATGGCAGTCAACTTCGACATTAGTGTGACAGCATGAGCAATTCACTGAGTATTTTTTCTGTTTGCAATGCAACAATACTTCGCTTCATAGACAAAAACAAACAACGTGAGGGCCCTACTATTCATGACTTCTCAGGTTTTGCAGGTTTAAGTATAAGAAAATAGTTGAAGTTGAATGCTCTTATTTCAAAAGTCAAATTTCCAGGTACAACAAGCAACCATTGGGTTATTATAAAATGAGTTTCCCATGTTGCCTTATGAAACATGAGAAACAATTCTTAAAAAGCTTTTAAACCAAAATACACATGATTGTTTTTGTGCATGTGCTCAGTACCTTCATCAACTTCCTTTCCATCCAGACGTGATGGATCCTGAACGGCTTTAGCATCTCCCTTTGATTTCTTTTTCTTCTTTGACTAAAATATAAAGAATAAAAATAAAACATTACCTCAATAATTACTTTCTGATTACATATTGATTTAGAATATTAAAAAAAAAAAATCAGAAGCAAATTTACAAACAAATTCCCTGAATAACTCTCTGTATAGACAATCCCTTTAAAATGGAAGGAATATTACACAATACCGATTCCAAATAGAAACCAGGACTACTGAAGTAACACGAAGGAATTAAGCAGTATACAAATGATGAKGCAATCGTGTACTTCTGCAACCAAGCACAAGGACTGGTGAAGACTCCACTCTAACACAAACACAGAGGAATATGAACAGTTTGGTGAGAAACTCCACTCAGACATAACCAAGTTTGTACAAAAGGAAGCATGAAATTAGATACTGAGGAACAAAAAAAAAAAAAAAAGTCAGTGTTGCCTTAAAGTGGGAAGAGGATCCCAGCATGGAAAATTACTTTGAAGGAGAACAGTGATGAGAGTTTACAGCATATATTCATATTTTTTTTTCCTAAAGTTATCACCAGCTTCTAATGCTTGGCTATTCAAGCAGAGCTAAATGAATAGATGCATTTATTTCTGCAAGCTGCTTTGGTGCAACAGAGAACAACATACCATTTTAAAAAGATGACTTTGAGAAAAAGACGTACAAAAAACACGATTCAAAGAATTGAGATGACACTTATCACAGAATGCCTCAGGGCTTAATCTTTTAAGAAGCTAATATGAAAGTGCTGGTTACCTGCTTTCTAATGTCTTGCTAACAATATTAGTTATCCTTTTGTAATACATGCTAATATTAGAATAAGACTGGTAACTGACAGCTCATGGTCAGTTTTTTACAGGGCTACAGACTACATGATTTGCTAGCCTTAGCTGCCCAAGAAGACTATGAAAATGCTCTAGAACTCAGGGCTGGTAACAGCTAAATTACCACACCTGCAATACAGGCCCCACAGCGTCATGTGGCACCTCTGAGCCTGCATGACCAAAGCGCATCCTAAAACTTGAACACAGTTGCTCAAAGAGACAGAGCTTAGTGCAGCATTAGAGCACAAAAAGAAACAAAAACCCTCCCTGTTTATTTGCAGGGCTGCCCTAGCACGCCTGCAAGCACTTGGAGTGCTTATTTGAACAGATTTAGCTCAGAGCTTGCTGAAATAAAATATCAACAGCCACAATGACACAGCTCACCAATGTGCTCTGTAAACCACCCTTTAACCAAGCACTGACTACAAAGCTTCAGCACTGCCCTCAAAAGAAGCAAGCTACTTTCAAAAAGCAATCTGAAAGAATTGTTTTTAAGAGTACGAATAAACACAATGATTTGCAAGAGTATCTTCTTAAGACGGAATTAAAAAGGAAAATGCACAACATGAAAAAAAAAAATATCCTCATCTGCAAGCAGCAAAGGGTAAGTGGGTGCCAAAGCCTTCAACTCTCCACTACATTTACAATCTCAGAATCCTTTGGCTCAAAACAACCCTAACCACTCAACTTTCTTAGATGTCAAGAGAACTTAAAAAAATCACTTTGGAAGTCTTTCAAATTGCTATTTAAGATGACTGTTCTTCCAAGTTGCAACTCTACATTTTTTTAAATAACTAGCTCCTATAGAAGTACTGATGTCAATTTGATACTTCTTATTATATTTTTTCAAAACTATTAAGCATAATGATATTTAGAAATAGAAGAATGTTAAATACTGAAAATATATTTGCTTTCCTAACCTGAGTTACTGGAACTTGGCACTTAAATTTATTCTCCACCTGTCAGCCAAACTAAGCACTGTAACAGCAACTTCTTAGAAACAAGACAATATATTTAGAAAAAAAGGGGGGGAGGCAAATGAACAAATCCCCACCAAATAATACATCCCGCACTGCCCGAGGTACAAAAAAAGGCAGGGAAGATCCCACCCAAAATGCCAACAGACACGATGAGCTCCTGTATCATAAGAAAAGCCCCTGTCATGACATTATGCAAACCTTCTTTGCTGCCAAGCAGTACAAAGTGAAGCACCTACACGTGATCCCTTAAAATCTGTGGAGGCTCATAATGTTGCAAATGCAATGGATACTATGAGTGCCTTAATCAAATAATTAATGCCTATCAAGTTACCTGTACAGAGCTTAAAGAAAGGGCTCAGGGCTGTTCTTAACTGAAGCAAACGTGCTCTGCTCGTGCTTCCCTCAGCTGAGCAGTGCTGTTCATTTCCTGGTGCTGCAGGTTCAGCTTAGCATTTCAAAGTTCAAAACTCGAAGTCTGCTCTCCTGTGCTAAGGCTAGAGGCTAGCAGGTAGCACCTTCCCTACCTGGAAATCTCCTCAAAGTACAGTGAAAGTTAAGAAATAAAAAAAAATAGAGATTCCTTCACATTTTATTCTCTCCTCGACAAAGTACAGAGTCAGCCTGTTATGTGTTTCATGGAAAATCGGAAGAAGTGGGCAGGGTGAAAGCTTAAGGCAAAGCCACTTCAGGAAACTCTTTTATTTGCCACTTTAAAGTCTTCCAAAACTTCTGTAGTCCTATAGTCAACTAACAGAATAAAGTCTGTTGGCCAACATACAAACTACCTACAAAATAACTGTTTACTTATAGTAGATGTATTATGTGAAGAGAATTAATCAATTCTACCAATTGAATACTACCAGAACATAACTGGCAGCCCCGGCTTCACTACATAGCCCAGGAGATGTATTATGCATTTTCAGAAATCCAGGCTAGTAACAAAATTTCATGCATAACATTAGCAAAAGAACCAAGACAAAAATCACTCTTGGTCACAAGACAATCATAAATTTATCTATGTCAACCAGAAGTGACAGCATTTATGATAAGGGTGGAAGAAATCAGTCYTTACAGTGCAAAAATACAACATTGGCATTAATACAGCTACATTTTAGATAAAGCTACAGACTCAGCTTTAAATTCAGCTGTTTTGTTTGCATAACAAGAAGCTGCCCGCAGACTTCAAAGACCCAGTTTGTCATCAGAAATTAAGAACTCTAATCACTAACGGCTAGATCTGACAAAAGCAATACGCAAGAACATGCTCTTATTCTTTGAATAGAGGTTCCACAACTGTTGGATCATTTACAAGCCCCTTAACAATATCATCATTATATTTTATCTGCACAGAAGCCAGCAAAGATTAAACAAACTTTATTATATAGACTTAGTGTGAACAGAAGTTTCCACCTTATTTTTTTCATTTTGATTTATACAAACATTTCATGATAAGGTGTAATCTCTGTTAAAAGCAAACAATCAAAACAGCTACTTTTCAGATATAGAAATAACACATATGAAATTCTGATATGTTGTAATTTTAAATCCATAACTGACCTTCTCATTCTTCTTTTCTGCATCCAAAGGCTGCTTTACATTTTCTCTACGAACCGTCTGTATTACTTCATCTTCAGATACATCAAGGATAGACTGTCCATTAGGCTGCATAAACAATTAAAGTTGAATAACAAAAAATGAGGTGGAAGCAGATAAAGCAAAATTCAAATTACGGGTCTACTGAAATACAGCTGTTCATTGACTGAAAAATACAAGATTACTAAATAAATCAAACACACTAAATTGGACAGGCATTCAAAATACACACTGCAGTTCTATATTAACCAAATGTGTGAATGACAAAAAGAACACAGAAGTCTACTCAGCTCTTAGCAAGCCCATTAAACACTTGCCATATCAAAGCACAAATTTCTAAAAACTGCCAGCTGTATGTGCTATAAGTCATCTAATTAAAAGAACACAATTAGCACTTAGCAGCAGTTTGGCAACAGGCTCATAAAAAAAAAAAAAAAAAAGAAAGAAAAGAAAATCGAGCTTAAAAAAATGTCTCTGCTTTATTCTCCAAGGACCTGGGCAAATGCCTAGCAGGTGACTTGCTCCACAAGCTCTATTCCATAGCAGAATAGACATGAAGTATGAGCAAAGGACACGCTGCTCTTTTCTTCAGATGGATGGATTCATAGACACTCATTACATTTGTCTACTAGTCTCCCCTCGCAAAATATTAATGGGAAGAAAATCACCATAAGTTTCTTTGATAAAGTGAAAATTCCAGACAATCATTAGATTAGTCATCTTCAGATAACCAAGGTGTATGCCTTAGCTTACATAAATACATAGACAAAACCATAATTACAGATTTTGTCTGAAGTCACAGACAATGCTAACCTCAATTACAGTTTTTAATATTGTGCTCATCCCCAGARCAGACAAAGATATGTTAAGTATTATACAACTAAGTATTACACTGCTGTTAGACATGAATCTCRCCAAGTCAAAGGCAATTGCCAAAGGAAGTAATTGATACTGAGTGTAAACAAGTTTCTGGTTCACAATGAACCAGATATATAATCTTCAGTCTTTAATTTCTTAAACGTGAAGAACTTGGCTGCTTTGTAACTGCTCTAATGTCTGGAGCCAATGCCTTCTCTGTGCAAAGATGCTTTTTCATATTTAAATAAAATATAAACACATGCATTAGTTTCAGATGTTTTGTTCATTAAGAAACTACCTTAATTTCACTATACACCAATTTGATTGCTTTAAAATAAAACAAAGGTCATACTAGAATGACCTTTGTTAAAGGAGTAGCTTAGTAAGASCTACTCCTTGAAAGACTAGATCTGAATTAGAGTATTAAGTCTTGCCATAGAACATTATACTTTCAAAGCACCCTTGACATGGTTTCAYCAGTGCAAAAATCAGTATTGCTTGGTGTATTTAGCTGCCAACTTCTTATTTTGCAACTATTATTAGAAATTGAAAGATCAGATCACCTAACCCCACTTCTTCTCCTGCAAAGAAGGTAATTTTAAAATAGCTATTTTATATCTAAGGTACACTTTRCCTCTCTAGATATTCTGAGAATGGAGGCTCTTTTAAAGACCTGCACCTCAAAGCTCTGTGTAAAGTTCCTCTCATCAAATCTCTCTGTCGTAGCTTCTRCAGGGACACTAAATATCCAATGAACAGTCGTCAAAATAACTTGTTCCCATTAACATTTCCTGAACCTCGCTACATTCTCCAGAATCCACATGACTTGTATCAAGGRTTTACAACCAATTTTCTTGGTATTGCATACACAGAATTTGGCTGTTGTGAAATGATCCCAAATTACTGTACAAACTATAAATAACTTAAATTTGAATGATAGTTTCTTTACTTCTCTCAAAATCATCTATTTCCCAGAGGGCTTGTTCTAGGCTATCTCATGCCCTTTAAGCAGGAAAGGGCAGGAAAGATTCATCCACATGACTGTGTAAAATCACTGTCTAATCATGTGATCATGTTGACAATGACCATTAAAGACAAGTTTAAAAGCTGGTACTTTCATACATTTTTCCCTGCGCACTCACAATATTTATCTTTTCAGTAGAAGGTTTCCATATTTAATTTCTGCCCACAGATGAATCATAGAATTTTGGGCAAAATTTGTGCTCATTTTTGCATAATGCGAGACAGCAGCAGACCTAGGAAAGCGGATGAAGGAGAAGGGGAAAGCTGACCTACAATCTTTTAAAAATGCAACTAGAGAAAAATGGTTATTCCTAAKTTTATACAGTGCTTTTCAGATTATCCAGAAGCTCTGGTAAGAATAAAAGCTCAATAAAAAGAGGTGAAACTAAAAAGCAGCAGAGGGAGGCAYAAGAATTTTTCACAGGGGAAAGAAATCAAAGAAAAAAAAATCAAAGCTGTTACTTGGGAGTGGAAAAAAAAATCTGAAGAGGGATCAAAGGACAAGGATAGGATAAGTGTTAGAAACTTTTCCTCTGCTAGGAAARAGAGACAGTGCTTTACTACATGTACCTAAACAGATACTAAAGGGAGACCAGAAGGATCCCATGAAACTGCCTTGCTCCAAGCAGCTGGAGAAAGCCAGGGCTGGCTCTGTAAACTACTGTCTTTATGAACACTGAGCTATTTCAGACTCRTATTACCTCAGTCTGCCTATAGGAAGCAAGTAAACAGAGCTCGATAGTTGTTAGCAAGTCTAGTCAATGCTGCTCTGCCAAACTTATTTAAAAAATATATTAGGTAGGTTGCACACTACATAAAGCCAACTGCAAGAAGCAAATGCACAGGCTTCCTCAAAGGGAGCAGTCAAGAATGCTTCTGTTCTTCACAGATCAGTTATACATCACCTGTCATATGATGAGCTCAATCTATATTAATGATAGCCAYATGATAGCTTAATCTATATTAAAATAATCATATAGCTTTTAAGTAGATATCTGTAGTGCGCTTTTTAATCCCCATAGACTAATTGTTTTAAGCTTTCTGAAATGCCAGTGGTTAAAAGACAGACTCTGGGATAGTAACCCCTGCAGTAAATCTACTGCTAATAGGCTTAATCTTTTTCCTTCACAGTCCTCACTACTCATATCAGGAATGACAAAAACACAAGCTGAAAACCACCACACTACCTACAAGAAGGATTTGGGGTGCCTTATGAGTTTTCAATACCATTTCGAGTGTTCTGTCGGGTGAAACAAAATCAGAAAGCATTTTGGGGGAGCACACTGATGAAGGCTCCAGTCAAGTTACCCACATTACGAGCATGATGCAGCGCCACTTAACTTCACCACCAACATACACTTACTTGTCCTGTAATTAATGACTAAGATCATGCATTTTCCTTTCAGAAAACCTTTTAAAAATTCTGCATGGACATAAYGAATACAGTAATATGAAAATGGCTTAAACCCCCCTCAAAAGACCGAATGACAAGCTGGCAGATGAAAATTGCTTTACTCAGTGTTTCTGAAAATACTTGGTCTTACGTGGCTTTAGCTTTTGTAATTCTGTGCATAACTAAACTGAACAGCATAAGTACTTCAAAATCACCAAATACAATGCCAGTTAGATAAATATGTTTACATGCAATTAATACACAATTCCCTTTATTATTAAGCCATGTACTTTATATCATGGTCAAGCCAGAGGCATTTCTTCATCTCCTATGATGAAGCTTCTCCTATTTCTTCTTCATAGCCTCCCCTCTCTTTTGTTGAGTCAGTATTCAGTGTCCTCAGCGATGACTTGCAAGAGTTTATGCTCTGGTTTTACACTAGAGTTTTATTTATTCATTTATTTCTGAGATTATGCATTCTCTGGGACACAGACCAACAAATCTGTTAAGATTTTGGAGGATCTGCCTTTCAAGATGGCAAAAAAGAAACTGTCTCTTCATGTCTTCTCTAAAATGGAGGCCTAGGAACACTTGAGAAATTCTCAATCAGGAAACTTCCTCTTCTTGCTGCTCAACTCTTTGCAAGTTGCAAGACACTAAATCAACTTCAGCAGCTCACTGAAGGTCAAGGACAGCTTGACAGTCTGGGCAAGACTTTTTTATGTTTGGTAAGGATATTCTAGCCTCAATTTCTCATTAAAAGAATTATCATACAAAAATATAAGCTTATCTCAAATCTCAGAAGTGAACAACAAAGGAATCAAACAAAGGAACAATTTTCTTTCACTTTCTCCCCTTTTTCAGTTTGTCAAGGAAACAATAGAGACTTAACGTCGTAAGAGACACACATTTAAAACACAGTTATAACAGGCCAGAGGACATCTGCTGCACTTTCATTCCTATAATCCATTGGACATAAATAGGATTACAAATATACTAACAAAAGAAACCATCCCTTCTGCCCCCAAACTCGGGTAAGTGGCAGCTTTAAAGGGCCAAGTCAGTAATTTCTGTATTCTATGAGTTTCCTCACGAAGCACAAGCAATTTAGCGAGCACAGAAGGTTTCCACATCTACTAAGATTAAAAGGCAGGAATGATCTTAGGGGATTCTAAGACACAGATTTCCTCATTAGGGAAGATGATCCCTAGCACAACTACTAAATCGGACCAATTCCTCCCGAGGCACGTTCCTCAGGAGATCAACGTTATAAGCTTGGCTAAAAAGCAGGGAAAAAAAAATAAAATAAAATCAAGTTTTCATCATTACAACATTAATGGGTCTCGCGATGCTGCTTCCACTTGCCTCTACCCGCCTGGCCTGCTACTCCGGGCTTGAAAACCCCAACCAGGCTGAGGTCTCCAACACCAGTTCCTACCTGGGTAAGGCTTGGGCTAATAATAAGGCCTTTAAACAACGTMTCACTGAAAAGGTTATAAAAAATAAACGCCTTTTTTCCGTTTTTTTAAAAAAAGGCGCCCTCACCCGCGCCGCCTTCTCCACCAGCTTCTTCCTGCCCCGCTTCTTCTGCTCGTCGCCTCTGAGCAGCAGCTGCGCGGGCGCCGCCGCCGGGGCCGCCTTGCCGGGAGCGGGGCCTGCCGGGCCCG